ACAATCTTAGTATATCTTAATATGTAGTATATTAATATATATAACTAAAATTACTAATAAAGATATAAGCAAGGCCTTACCTTAACACCAAAAAAAAAAAAAAAAATAGTATAATATAATTATCTTAACAATTACATTAACTAAATTAAAATTAACAATTAAAAAAACACCTAACAACAAAACAACAGATTCAACAAAAATATCAAATAAAACATCTAAGTTCTAAAGCAAAGTTTCTGATATTAAGATATCAAATATTGTAACTGCATTACATTTTAAGATACACCTAAAGTCTGAAAATATAATACAATATACCTAATATCAAAAAACATTTACTAAAAATTTCAATTATACAAGGCCAATCACACTTATTAAGCATACAAGAAAAAATAATAACCTGCAGGCTAGATATAATACTGACAAGATACAACATACTCAACCAAAGCAACTATGTAGCCCTATCTAACACATCTACTGCTAATTGGTGTATGAAATATTAGACTCCAATGCCAAGTTCAATTGAAGAGCTTTCTTAAACATTTTAATCACAATGCGATTGATTAGACATTAGCTCGTAGATGGGTGGACCCATACTCTTGTATTAAATTTAATTAAATGTGATAAAAGGCGATATTCATATTTTTTTTGTCTATAGCGGGTTTGAGAAATTATTACTATACTAACTTTTTTAAACGGACAAGAATTAGCCAATCAGACAAACTTCTGGCTGTTTGCATTGCGTTACACGACAAAAATTTCAAAAACTGACATTCTGAATTAATATTCTTGTTCTGTGTCCCCCGATAACTGGCATGTGTTTCTGATTTGTTTATTTTAGAAAGAAAAGTTCCTATCATGAATTTACCCGTAGTGACCCGTTATATAATTTTCTTGACTATACTAGTTTCTTTCTTCAATCGGACTGGTTTAATATTGCTGAAATGCTCTGCTCCATCATTCGTTATCTATCGTCTAGAGATTTTCAACCTTCTTTTGTCTCCATTCCTCTTTTCTTTTTCCATAACGAACATTTTACTGACGGCTTGCAATCTGTTCACTCTTGGTCTTTTTGAAGAATCTCTAACCTCCGCGATTGGTGGTTCAAAAAAATTTACTTATCTTTTCATAAATTTGCTCCTTAGTGTATGCACTTTACGGCAAATCATCGGTTTTATATTCACTAGATCAACTGGCTGGTCATTACCCGCACTATTTTTCAGTGAAGCTTTGCACGAATGTAACCAAGGTAATTCTACTTATCGATTTTTCTTTTATATTCTTATGCTCTAATTTGCTTTAATTCATATACCGTAGGACTATCTCCTTTTTTATTTGCTTTGCTAGCCTTTCAGTCGCTTAGTATCGATGATAAATCTTTGTTCCGTATCAATAAACGACTTTTAAAAATAAAACTCCGCAAAATTACCTTT